CAGTGAATGAGCATGGTTTTACACCACTTTTAGCAATATTGGATCCAGCAATATCACGGCGGGGGACACCAGAAATGGGCTTCACACATTGTACCCATATGGGGAATCGAACCCGGGCCTTCGGTATTGCGAGTGAACGCTTAAACCACTAAACTATCCCACCGCCCCTGTCTGTTTAAGGCTGACAGTGGGTTTGAATATACAGTCGTACAACATTATGTCGAAGTTGAAGGAGCCTACGTAAAAAATTCGAATTATCCGAGGTTCGACACAACCGAAACAGGTGAATAAATAAGGAATAGTTTTACGTCGACACTTCAATACTGGAAACAACGGTGTTTGACTGTATGTAATAAGAGGCAGAGAGGAACTTGTCAACTTACATTTACATACAAGGCTCCTCTGATCATTAGGGCTGGGTCAAAGGAATAACTGTGCAATCCAATACATATACCTATACACATACATGTACCTTGATCGCGATCCGATATGTATCATGATACTTGCATGTGTGTTTATCTGTGGTGTGTAATAGGGTTTGGACAAGTCCAAATTTACTACACTGGTACCCGACCCCCTATTACCCAACCCTACCCGTATACCCACAGCATCAAGAGTTACAAAATGGCCAAATAGAAATTGTTTTACCGGCCCACTTGCAAAACATATTTAGGTACATCTACAAAAGGATCTGGTGATGTATCCACTGGAGTTGACTGAAACTGTATCTTTACTTAAAACATATAAAAGAAGGAATGAGTGTATAGTCAGAAAGATATGTGTACATAGACTTGTGGGTAACCATGGAGTTGTAGCAGTGAATTTGTCTCATTATGTTACATATCAAGTGACTAAAAAAGAGTCCGTGTAGTCCTGTGGGTATCCGGGTCCTCTTCAGTGCCCACCCGACCCGAGTACCAGAGTACCCGAGTTACCCGACCAAGCCCTATTGTGTAAGCCATCTGATTCCTAGACAGGACGACTAAATACCTGCCACACTGACGATTGGCAGAGTCAAGTATGGCGCAAGGGATGAATTTTTTTAATAGTTTTCACAACTAATTTTCACTGCATATTAGTATTAAAGAACACATTTCAGGTATGAATATTGCTGAGAGTGGCATTTAACAACAAACAAACTCTGTGGTATTTCCTCCCACACCAAGTGAACACATTGTGATAAAACTGAAATTTCGTTCAGAGCAAACTCAAACTTTAAACCATTTCATCCTCAATTGAACTGTTGATGTTTAAGTTCTGGAATGATAAACTAATGGAATCTTGAAGTTAACAATGCTATTGATTCATAATCATCTCAGGACTAATTGCAGTAAGGTACTACCTGAAGCGACACAAGTGGTCGGTACTCAAGAGCAAAAAGATGTAAATCAGCAAAATTGAGAGATACCCGAGGGGGCGCCGGACGATAATCTGTGAGCATTGGCCATGTTTTTGACATCGGGAAGACCCCTGTGGACACATCGGAAGAAAATAACTCCGTTATTTCCTTGCGGAGTCCGGCGGTCCACCCCCCGATCGGTAATGGATCTGTCACATTTTCCGGGTACCCACCATTGACCCAACAGGCACCTGCCCATCTTCCCGAGGCAAGAGAGTTAACTGACTTTTCAAGTTTCCGAACTAGGCTGGAATAACTGGGCTCCATCGTAGGGCACACAGTGGCTATTACCAGTTATGTCCCTTCTAAGCCTCTCGTATCGACCAATCAGATTCCACCTATCGTATCACCTGCGTTAGCTTCACACAAAATGGTGGCGCCCGGTCAGGACGATCTGATCGATAATCAAGATCTATATTGTGATAGAACGGGTCTCACATCGCGAAATGCATCAAATCACGTGCGCACCTTGATTAAAAAATATCTGCTGACAATGAGTTGGCGGTGCACATGCTTTGCAAATCATGCAATCGACCAAATCTGCAAGACAGTTTACAAACCGGATTTTGATTTCAGTGCCCGATTTCGATTGGACTATGCATAGATTCGTTAGTCCAGCCGAAATGTAACTCCATAATACCCGCCTCGTTCGGCAAGGGTGGAAACTGGACTTGTATAGTCAGTTAACTCTCTAACCTCGGGGAGATGGCACCTGCCAGACTGTGAGGGAACCGGACAAATTTTGCAGTGAGAAGCTGTGGTATGGTCACCGGAGGAGGTCATCTTCCGGGGATAGGTCAATACTCGGAATGTTCCCCTCCGGTGACCACACGATTAGGTCAAGTCGTAAAGGGACCAACCGGAATATGGATAAGCATCGGCCAGGCGCCAAGCGGGTATCATTCATCCGACACTGGGAATGTTGATGTTGCTGTTCTGGAGTGTATTATATATTGGGCTGAATGGGATGAGCAGCATGGAATGTCTATAGGATGCCTGTCCCTCCACACACACTGTCCTTCTGTCTCTTCCTCCCCGTTGTGCCCTTCTTCGCAGCAGCTCCCTCTGCCTTTCCACTCTTCATCTCCGAAGTTTCATACTCCACAAATTTACAAAATCAACTGAAATGTGATACAGCACTTTTTCCAAAACCCTTCGGACACCGGCCGGTGGCTGGAGGGGTATCTACCGATCATCTTTGGTTTCTTTACTGCACCAAAGTGTCACAGATGTGGGCAAAAATCTGTGGCACCGCGGGGCATTGGTGGCACCAACCGATGCCGTCACATCGTCCGGCGACCGTTGTATATGTGACTGAGGCATAAGACATCGCAGTTGGCTCGGATGAGCTGTCTTCAGGCCTCCCAGAAAACTATGACTGTAGATTGTAATATCACTTAGCCCTGCTTGTCTTGTCAGCATCATATCATTGCAGCGCTTGCACGCACGCACGCTCGCTTGTTCACTCACTCACTCAACAACTCAATCACGCAACCACTCACTCAACCACTCAACCACTCAACCACTCAGCCACTCACTCAACCAAAAAGCCAGGGACCGAGCCCTCTTCTAATAATATCGAATCGGTAGATTGTTTTTAGACGAGGTTTAGCATGTAATAACACGTTGTAATTTGACACTGGACTCACAAACGAAGCTGTTGTGGTAAATAGGTCAAGGGCGTTTAAGATAAAAGGATGGAGATGAAATGTACTGAATAATCGAGGATGGGTGAGGACTTGAAGCGGAGAGAATGCGGATAGGGATGCCAATAGCAAAGACATGAGGCCCCCAGGGGAAAATCATATGGACTATTTACAACCAGGTCAGAATATCAAGATACAGAGTAACAGAGCAGGGATAACAAGACAACAGCGTTACCAATATCTCACAATGGGTCACAATAGAATCGTGTTTGTAGTAGTAAATATGAACTATAGAAAAGTCCTAAAAAGACGAAAGAAGAGGTAGTCACAAAGGTCGCTTTGTCATCAGCAAAAAATGATTACATGTGAAATCAATAGACACAAAAGGCCCCTTCTCTGCAAAAGATGATTTATGCCACAAATTCTCGAACTCAGTCTTGACTAACTAACTTTAGTAGTTTTTGAGAAAACCTGTCCCAATTGCACACACAATGCATGAAGTTGAAAATCACGGAGCAAGGACCTTAGCTTCTTTAAAAAAAGAATTAACGGAACAATTTTCGCACTCAGTCTTGACAAATATCTCGTACATGAACATGCAAACTTACAGTAATGTAACTACAGTAGTTTCTGAGAAAACTTGTCCCCATTTCAACAGATATGCACTAAGTTGAAGGGGGCACGGGTGGCCCAGTCGTCTCAGGCGCCGCGATTCGCTGTGCAGAGTTGCGTCCCTTAGGCATGCCAGAAACCTATGATTGTGGGTTCGAATCCCGGTTCGCCCCGATTATGTTCCTAGGTTTGTCAGAACCATACCCGTGCTCGTGGGTTTCACCGAAGTGGTAAACGTCTGAGACCTGCATCACTTCGGGCTTTCCTCCCACATTAAGCTGACACGCCGTGATATAACTGGAATACTGTTAAAAGCGGCATTAAACCCAACTCACCCACCCACCCACCCACTAAGTTGAAAAGCGTGGAGCAAGGGACACTTAAATAGTTTTTGAATGTTTTTGTCGCCATTGAGAAGCTGATGGACAGACGAACTCCGTTCCTATATCCCCTGTCCCAATTCCTGGCGGGGGACGTTTGTTTGTTTGTTGTTTAACGCCGCACTCAGCAATATTCCAGCTATATGACGGCGGTAGCCAGTAGCCAGTCAATGTCGACATGACATTTGACTTAAATACTTTTTGAGAATAGTTGTCCTTATTCAGAAGCGGACGCTAGTCACAAGTGGTGGAATACCACAATCAGTCAGCAAGCAAGCTTCCCACTCAGGTCACGTTAGAAAAGAAGCAAGAAATATATTCAAGGCAGCCAGTCAATGTCGACATGACATCGACTACTCAAGTGGGTTGCCCTGTCTGGGATGGCCTGAACACACAATCAGCCAGGTGACACCAGGTCCTCATAATTCCATCGAATACCTTACTTCTACTACAACATAGCCATGCATTCCTGTTTGGGCTGTTATCACTCAATGAAATCTTCACTGCCAACTATCTAATAAGTTTTGAGGTAAACCTAATACTCAGGCTATTGCTACTGTTACGTTCAAGGCAGGAAAACATCACTTCTTTCGTGTGTGTGCTGATGTCAACACAAAATCTACTTTGGATTTCGCGATAAATTCAGGTTATACATTTTGTAAAGCGCTAAATTAGGTTTTAAAATCGTATTTTGGTAAGAAATGACAGACATATTGTAAGCAACGACTGAACTAAATGTGCATGATGGTGTTGCTGGGCTTTTCAACGCGTAAATGAGTCACGTAACACCCCTGCGTCTCTTCTCTAAAGTAATATTTAAGCAAGGTGCTTATCTGGAGTGTTTTGCAAATGTTTCCCGACAAGACTCAAGTTTTCTCAACCTTTTCGGATAGATATATTTCTCTTCTGCTGAAAACGAGCAAAAGTAAAACGAGTCGTGATCACATGCGCTGTTACGGCTGATAACAGGTCACTACCAGTAGCTATTCATCACGGTGTGCAATCTCCCTCTACACCGCCTGGTTGGATCAAGGAAGTGAAGGTAAGTTGACATGCGGGTGATATTTGCCAAATTTTATGTACACTACAAGGCTAACAATGATCTCAATGGCCGAGGTAAGCGACGTCGTTACTCAGTAATGTATCGACAGGCTGTGAAGTAAAAGTCAGCTGATAATTCAGTCGTGGCGATGTGTTTAGCGTTCGTGCCCTTCCCACCCCTGTGTTGCCAAGTCTACTTTCGTTATGTACATGCGACTTATCTCACGAACGTTTGTCTGTTAACGATACACTGACTCCAGAGGATGTAGTGTGTCTATCACATCTATATGTCGTACGGTTTTAAGACAGTAAGTATTTATAATGGCTGTAGGTGTGTTGCATTGTGTTGGCTCTGGGCTTTTGATAACAGCTAGTCTACTTTCGTTATGCAAATGAGAGCCGATATCTAGGTCAGTGCATATCATACGCTTCAATAAACGTCCGTGTACCTTTTATAGCGACTGTGGGCTGGAGATATTACAACTGAATATATTCAGTCCTTGGATTAATGCATCTAGCAAATTCTTTGTCGTAACCTGTTGAAAACATGAGTTGGATACACAGGTCTACATCAGCTAAAAGCGCAACTGTGGTTGCGGGTGGAAACATTTTGGTGTTTTTATATGGAGTATTTTCACAAATTTGAAATGACCATTGACTCTCATTTAAGATATGATGTGGCATTACACATGCGTCTCTCTATCTTTTTTTACAGATGGCGACGTCCCAGAAACTGGAGGAACATTTTCTCACATGCACTATATGCACAGAGGTGTTTGACAATCCATGTACCCTTGTGTGTTATCACACCTTCTGTCGGAAATGTGTGGTCAACTACACCAAAACCAAACCAGAAGCCATCAGTGCCAAGTCTCTCCTGTGTCCATTCTGCAGCAAGATGACGAAAGTGTCTTCCCCGGAGAAACCAGTGGAGGAGTGGGCGGATGATGTCAAGCCCAGCTTTGTCATCCAGGGTCTCTTGGATTCATTTGGCCCCGGATGTAAAGGTAGATACAAACAGCATTGTGTCAACGGATTGTCCAAATCAATGTCCTAAATGGTATTCTCCCAATCCCATTGCGCTCTGTGTTATTTCACTGTAACAAATACTGTAGAAGTAATAGAAACAGGACGAATATAATGAATACTCAATCTGGTAATGTAACAATTGTTTCGCTTTAGTCGCTGTATAAAGTTTGTAGTCATCCAAATACGACATGCAGACACGCTGGCCTTTGTAAAGGAAGATGTTACAGACAAAAAAGATTATTTTCATGTATGTAAAGTTGCAGGCAAAACGCTCTAAAAGTCCATCATGTACATATGCTTGTATCTGTTGACAGATGTAACATTACTGTGTGATTCTATAATGGTGTGAACTATGTTTTATCATCCCAAACTGCATCACAATTTTTTGCAGCCCATTGTGACGTTATTCGTTACCATGACGCCACAATCAAATGACATCACTCATGGCTCTGAAACTGTTAGCAGTACTTTTTTACACTGAGGACACTGCTTATTACTGTTGTCTTCAAATTGAAAACGTCTCAGAGTTTTTCCACATTTATCAACTCGTGTTGATATATTTGATATCAAAAGACGCGCTGGTGAGATTCTGTTTAATATACCAATAATATGTATTTACAACAATAAACAAATATCACCTTCACTCAGTACCACTAGATGTATACATTGAGATATACCAATACACGCTCAGTGGTATATTGCCAGCTGTGTTTTTATCAATCTTTCCTTATTTTGTTTAGATACGAAATATTGCACGTGCTGTCAACGCGAAGGGGAGACAACTCCAGCCTCTGTGTGGTGTTCTATTTGCGATGACGCATTGTGTGACGTATGCGAGAGGGTACACAGACGCATCTCATCCACTCGCCATCATGACACAATTGATCTGTCAAGCGAGGTTATTATCCCCAGGAAACGAAAGGTCATGTGTAACGAACACAAGGATGAATGCATCAAATTCCTGTGCAAAGATTGCAAGAAAGTCATCTGTCAAACTTGTTGTATTATCTATCACAGGAAATGTGACTCGGTTGTCACACTTGAGTCGGAATTACCTGCTTTAAAATCCCAGCTTCTGAATGAGAAGGAAAACATAATGAAGAAACAAATCCAAATGAAAGTAAAAGTTGATACAGTTAAGTCGAATGGGATCTCTGAAAAAGCTCGGTATGCTCAAATGGAATCAGAGATCAAGTCTTCCGGTAATAAAGCGAGAGAGAAGATCACTTTCAAGGAAAACAAACTCCTAGATGAACTGAGAGAAGTCTCGGAAAAGCACATTGGACAACTGACAGCCGACATTAAGTCAGGGGAAATATCAGTACAGATGTACCGACAACAGGTTGAACTGATAGACCAGACTCTACAATCTGAGTGTGACATGGATGTGTATGAGATGTATCAGGGATGTGAGGTCGGTGATGTTGAGGCTGCCGGAGCCGCAGACCTGAAGGATGATGGGAGAATAGCCAGGATCATGTTCAGACAGGACACGGATCAGCTGAGTAGAGCACTGGACGATCTACAGCTGGGTGAGATAGACATCCAGTATGAGGGTGTGCTGGACCTGAAGGCTACTCATGGCTTACAGGATACCATTAACATCAGAGTTGCGGGAGATGGAAATACAGCATACCCGTTTGACGTGACGACTGTGGTGGTGAATGGCACAGACACACTGGTAGTCACAGACTACAACAACAAGAGTGTGAAGTCCTTCTACACCAAGACAAAACAGCCAGGTCACAGCAAGCTCAGCCTGAGTAGTGGTCCGTGTGGTATAACAAAGTTGAAACACAACCAGGTGGCGGTCACTGTGCCAGATACCAGACAGATTGTAACAGTTGAAGCCAACCCTGTCCTGGTGCTGCTGTCAACCATCACAACCAAGAAACATTACCACGGTATAACGTCTCTGACACAATCAACACTCGCAGCATGTGTCCGGTCTCCCCCCAGTGTGGATATTTTGGATATTACGGGACACGTGCTGAGGTCAATCAGTCCAGTCCATAGTGGAAAGACCATCCTACAAGATCCCAACTTTCTTTGTACCACCAGAACAGGAAACATCCTTGTGTCGGACCGCAGTTCCATGTGTGTCCTGTGCCTGACACCTGAAGGGGACGTTGTGTTCACCTACACCCCGACAGGAGACACAACACTGACATCTCCGTGGGGTATCACAAGTACCAGCACAGGCGCCATCCTGGTTGCTGACTACTCTAAACATAAAGTTGTTCATCTGACTGAGTCAGGACAGTTTGTTAGACACTTCCTTACTGCAGATGACGGTGTCTTGTACCCGTACGGAGTTTGCGTAGATGGACGTGGCCATGTGTATGTTTGTAATCACATCTCAGGTGAAATTAAAGTATTCAGTAGTGGTAACACAGTATAGACCACTGATTCATAATCAACTGATCATTCCATCTGAAGTTATTATAAGTACCTACATTTACCACCACCTCCTAACTGCAGATTCACTGATGTGGTGTTGACAGATCATCAGCTCAGTGTTGACATGGACCCATGTGACCAGTGTCAGATCTTCCCTGTGTCATATTTTGTGTGACTGAGTATAACTAATACATAGTGTGACTGTGTTGATCAATATATCTTCACTTATTTGTACCAGTGCATATCACCTTTAACTTTAGCTTAGAATTTATGTTACAGCTATGTGTACATAGAATCATTGCACTCCATTAAAAAATGTTCATAATTCTTTTACATGAAAATTACTTGTATTTGTCTATTTTTACCTGTTGTTTATGAGGATAATGCTTTTTTGAGCAGCCCTGAATTAAGGAATAATCAAATTCCGTGCAGGTGACACACTTCTTTCAATCTTGTTCAGGAGTAACAGACTTTTGTGTTTGAATATGAATCCCTCAAGATATCAAGACATTGAAGATCTGTGTTCAGTTTGATATCAAGTTTCATACTACATCTCAATCACAAACTGCTTTCAATCTACATGTTTCCAATAAACACGGATCAAGCACCCCATGTGATAGGGCTATTTTATATAGTCTCTGTATGATGCACTTCTTATCATAGAGTTTATATTTCAAATTTCTTTCTTTCTTTCACGATCTGTAGTCTTTTAGTTTAGAAATATTCTACTACGTTCGAAACGAAGAGGCGAAATTATTCCTGATAACCGTTGGCGTTAGGCAAAACAAATCATAATGTTATGAAAGGCATGGATCGACCAGCCGTTCAAGGAGTTCGTTGTTGAAAGTGATGGTAAACCCATTTCACTCACTCACTGAGGCCAGAGAATATAAACATTGAGTCGGTATGCAGTAACAGGACAGTGGGGTAGCCTAGTGGTTGAAGCGTTTGCTCGTCACGGGTTTGATTTTACATGAAAATTACTTGGATTTGTCTCTTTATATCTCTTGTTTGTGATGATGAAATGCTCTTTTGAGCAGCTTGGAATTAAAGAATAATCAAATTCCGTGCAGGTGACATACTTCTTTCAGTCTTGTTCAGGAGTAACAGACTTTTGTGTGAATATGAATCCCTCAAGATATAAAGAAATTGAAGATCGGTGTTCAATTTGATATCAAGTTTCATACTACATCTGGGGGCACGGGTGGCCCAGTCGTCTAAGGCGCCGCGATTCGCTGTGCAGAGTTGCGTCCCTTTGGCACGCCAGAAACCTATGATTGTGGGTTCGAATCCCGGTTCGCCCCAATTATGTTTCTAGGTTTGTCAGCACCATACCCGTGCCCGTGGGTTTCACCGAAGTGGTAAACGTCTGAGACCTGCATCACTTCGGGCTTTCCTCCCACATTAAGCTGACACGCCGTGATATAACTGGAATACTGTTAAAAGCGGCGTTAAACCCAACTCACTCACTCACTCTTTGTGACGTATATCATCCCCTGTACCTGGTTGAAAGCTGCAACTTGTTGTTTCCTTGTCTGGACATCGGCTGACTTCTCCAGCTGAGCCACCATTTCCTTGACGTTGCAGTACTTCAGAACCATTCCAGTGAAAGACGTCTGAGAAGGTAAGCTAAACAAACCCAACTCACTCACTCACTCACTCATACTACATCTCAATCACAAACTGCTTCCAATCTACATGTTTCCAATAAACACGGATCAAGCTCCCCATGTGATAGGGCTATTTTAAATAGTCTCTGTATGATGCACTTCTTATCATAGAGTATATATTTCAAATTTCTTATTTCACGGTCTGTAATCTTTCAGTTTAGAACTATTCTACTACGTTCGAAACCAAGAGGCGAAATTATTCCTGATAACCGTTGGCGTTAGGCAAAACAAATCATAATGTTATGAAAGGCATGGATCGACCAGCCGTTCAAGGAGCCGGAGTTCGATGTTGAAAGCGACGGTAAACCCATTTCACTCACTCACCGAGGTCAGAGAATAAAAACATTGAGTCGGTATGCAGTAACAGGATAGTGGGGTAGCCTAGGGGTTGAAGCGTTCGCTCGTCACGCCGAATACCAGGGTTCGATTCCCTACTTAGGTACAAAGTGTGAAGCCCATATCTGGTGTCCCCGCCGTGATTTCGCTGGAATGTTGCTAAAAGCGGGGTAAAAACATATACACACTCCAATAATAAGGATCGCTTCCTTGGTCTAGTTGATAGAGCGTCGGCCCGAAGAGCGGAAGGTCTCGGGGTTCGATCCCCTGCCGCGTAAAAAGACGTAAAAAAGACGTAAAAAGATGGTTCTTGTTGTTACCCTGCCTGGCTCTATGTTTTATATTGCTAAAACAAGGAATGGTTTACTCGGTCGGTATTCTGTGTCTGATGTATTGATGTTGAAATGAGGCATGATATATATCAGTGGGCTAGGCTATATAATCGGCATTAGTCCGGAAGAGTAAGATGCAGCTACACATACACAGACACATACACGCGCGCACGCACGAACGAACGCACAAATACACACACACACACACGTCGCCATATAGGTGCAACAATCTTGAACGCGACGTTGAACCCCATTTCACCTCACCTCAAATTATAAACTCTACAAAGCATCACATGTTTTCGAACTATTTCAACACAGTTTATTCCAGATACAATTCTCATTACTGAAAGTGTCTGTGCGCGGTTAAGTGTGTGAATCTATTTCCAGTTTCTTATTTCAGGATCTTTTGTCTTTAGAAATATACAACTACGTTCGAAGCGAAGAGTTGAAATTGTTCCTTTTAACAGGCAGAACAAATCATAAGGCTATCAGGCGCATGGTTCTAATCAGCCCGAATTCGCTGTGAAAAGCGGCGTATAACCCCAGTCACTCACTAACTGATGTCTAGGTTAGAGGATGAAAAGATTGAGTCGGAGGTATCGAACCTTGGATAAGTGGAACTATTTATCTCATGCCAAGGAGTACGTGATAACGGGTTTCGACTATTTGTTGATTTTCTCATTTACAACTTCACATTACCGGTGAATACGATTGTTTCAGTTCTCTAAAGTATCTAGCGTGATGAAGTCGGTTTTGTTTGATAGGATCTCAGTAATGGTTGCATTCCGAAGATTAACGCTGTCGCCATGGCAGTCTTTTTTGCCTTTATGACGTCATTTTAACATTATTTCGTTCGTGTTTCGACGTCAACATGTGGAACTCTACACCCTGCTACTTTGATACTCTTCAAGTCCACAATCCACACACTAGTAGACTTGTAATTATTGCTTGCTTGATTTAGTGATGTTTTGAAATATCTTATACTGATACTTAATGTGAAGAAAAGCATCAACATCGCCCATCCCTAGTGTAACTGGATATATAAATATGAAATCACACTCACTACTTCATTGCTGGTCGCTTTGCAGAATCTTTTCATTGTTTAGTCCAGACAGTGGTGCTTAGTGCATGAAGGTAGACGAAACGCCGTCTCTAGGGTCTACTTGCATTTTCAGGCGAATGATGGCGTTGTGTCTGTCGGCATGTGTTTGCTGTTGTGCAATCGCCATGACAACCCTGCATTGTTTTGTGCAGTGGTGACGTGGTTTTTGTTTTGGCGAATTTCCCCGCTTGTAATTACCCTCTGGCTGCGTATGCACAACCAAATTACCGTCTATTCATGACTCGTGTACCGCAATGTGTAAAATTCTGACAAGTATTGATGAATTAATTCAATGTGTGTTTGTTTTTTTGTCATGGAAAACCAATACCACGAAAACAAAGGCCGATACAGTAACACTAAACGTGTTAAAACGAAACGTTGTGTATTCTTAAGTAACGCTTGAATTTTGCGCTCCCGTACGCGAATCTATTTACCTTTAGGCAAAGTTATCAGATACTTAATTGTGAAGTTTATACCTGACATTGTAAACACGAGATATATATGTTACACCCAATCTGTGCAACTGCCCATACAGCTTGTTCAATGCAAGCAATGGACAGTGGCGAGTTTTAAAATCGCATTCACAGAAGACAAAAGGACAACGTTATTTTATAAGGATCTGTTCACCGAGTTATGTTACAAAGATTTGTTCACTGAAGGTCATATGTTTTGAGGGTGGGTGAAGGTCATATAAACAGAGGGTGGGTAAAGGTGATATGTATTGAGGGTGGGTGAAGGTCATATGTAGAAGGATAATCATGTTCAGACGTTTGGCCATGCTTCTGTGTGAGTGGCAGAACATGCATATCCCTTCGCGAACAATTGGTGTCATCACTGATTTTCATCCATATACTTTTTAAGGCTATTGTGACTCTTACGCCCAATGGAACCTGCTTTGTCAGACAATCGAGTGATTACCATCATGAGCATCCATCTACGCTTTTGGGATACGATGGCATGCATGAAGCAAGTCAGCAAGCCGGACCATCCGATCCCGTTAATCGCCTATTACGGCAAACATGGGTTGCTGAAGACCTATTCTCTACCGGGATCTTCACGGGTCGTATAGCTTGGTATCAATACTGTTCGGGCCGATAGATTGAAACAGCCACTACTGAGATGGAGGACGAACATGTTTCTTGGAAGTTTTTCTTTGCCAGTGGGCGTTGGGTCTCTGCCCTTGTGGAAGGCGGAGGTGGTACGTGTTGGTTTCAACTGGGTCAGTGTATGCGCTGTCGTGGCGCTGGCAGCGCGATATGGGAGGAAAGTCCAGAAGTATGCAGGCCCTGGACGTGGTGAAAGCCACGAGCAAGGATGTGGCGCTTACAAACCACGAAACATACTAGTATTCAAGACGAATCTGGTGTTCGAATCCACGATCACATGTTTCTTCACAGCAGATTCGCACCTTACCGTTCCTTGGACATCCGTGAACCACACAAATGAAAAAGGAACAACGTTGTTTCGTTGTTTATTTCAAATGAAAAGCATGCGTCCGAAAGTTTTGACATAAACAAAATGAAGAAACCTTTATAACTTGGTATATATGATAAAGTATCACAATCAGACACATTACATACTGAATACTGAGTATGAACCATCAACTAATTTGTAAGTAGAAGTGCCATAAGCTGTATTCTTAAGTTTAACTGAAATTAATAAAATAAGTTATTCAGGTTTCTGGATCTATGAATATACGTTCAGAAGTCGCACAGAAGAATAATCACGTGGTTTATTCTTTAAGATTCAACTGTATCGTTGTATTTATATATCTCACAAGTAACCAAGATATATAAGGTTGTCTGTTTATGTCAGTGAGTGAGTATGGTTTTACACCATTAACCAATATTCCAGTAATATCACGGCGGGGGACACCAGAAATGGGCTTCACACATTGTACCCATATGGGGAATCGAACCCGGGCCGTCGGTATTGCGAGCGAACGCTTAAAACACCAAGCTATCCCACCGCCCATGTCTGTTTAAGGCTGACAGTGGGTTTGAATATACAGTCGAACACCACTGTGTCGAAGTTGAAGGAGCCTACGTAAATAATTCGAATTATCCGAGGTTCGACACAACCGAAACAGGTGAATAAAGAAGAAATAGTTTTACGTCGACACTTCAATGTTGGACACAATGGTGTTTGACTGTATGTAATAAGAAGCAGAGAGGAACTTGTAAACTTACATTTACATACAAGGATCCTCTGATCAATAGGGCTGTTACGATGGACCAACTGTGCAATCCAATACCTATACCTATACACATACATGTACCTTGCTCGCGCTCCGATATGAATCATGATACTTGCATGTGTGTTTATCTGTGGTGTGTAATAGGGTTTGGACAAGTCCACATTTACTACACTGGTACCCGACCCCCTATTACCCAACCCTACCCGGATACCCGCAGCGTCAAGATTTACAAAATGGACAAAGAGAAATTGTGTTACCGGACCACTTGCAAAATATATTTACGTACATCTACAAAAGAATCTGGTCATGTATACACTGGAGTTGACTGAAGCTGTATCTTTACTCAAAACATATTAAAGAAGGAATGAGTGTATAGTCAGAAAGATGTGTGAACATATACTTGAAGGTAACCATGGAGTTGTAGCAGTGAAT